ATATAAATGAATAAATAAATAAATATATATATATACACTGCAACTATTCAATAGTTCTATTGTTGTTTACTGCAATATTGCAATCAATCACAGTACAATGAACCTCTAATTACACTATAGTCAGGTTGTACTCCTTTGCTATAAAATAATAGTATACTACACTGAAACTATATTACTATACCACAGTAGAATTCGCAGGCAGCCCAGAGCCTGTCATGCTCCGTGAGTGTCGTGGGTGGGAACCATTCCGGTTACGGCGGGCTGGGGGATTTGGTGCTGGAGATGGAGCACCACTTCACAGCGATTGCTGCAGATGTCACCAGCAACCTCGTCAGGGTGGAGGCTGGAGATCTTTTTCTTGAAGCGACTATATCATGTGTATATTATAGCTTCTCCTATAGTCCATAATATTTCAATATATGCTAAAGTTACTTGTAGCTCAGATCCTAGGGTTTTCCAGCAGAGGCCGGCGTGAAGTTGAAATCGCTGGCCGCCAAGGCCGCCGAATCTGAGCTTGTCGTTCCCCTCGGCACCGCACCAACGGTGGGTGTGGGTCTCATTCTTCAAGGGGGGGTTGGGCACTCTACCAGGCGTTTGGGACTTGCACTCGACGCCATCCACTCTGTCCAGCTCGTCACTGCTTCAGGGGAGGTCTTAACCTTGAGCAGCGACTCATGTGACGAGCACAAGGACCTCTTCTGGGCCGTGTGCGGCTGTGGACCCAACTTCGGCGTCGTCACCTCCCTGGAACTGAAAGCCTCGAAGCTCAAGAGCTGCCGGGCCACGCGGCGCGTCTTCCATGTGCCTTCGGAGTCCCCTTCCGAGGCCGCGTCGGTGGTGCAAAGATACATGTTACGTTCGAAGTCCCTTCCCAGGGACTGCTGCGCTGACTGCTGCGTTTACTTGGCAGATGGCTCGATACAGGTGGGGATCTACGACTTCAACCTTGGCTGCGAGGTCCCCCCGGTCGATGCTGGGAGTGCCGAGTCAGTGCTCGAGCTAGTGGACGAGGGGCTAAACCCAGTTCAACTCATGGATATTGAGCCCTACTTATGTGCCTCGGCGGTTTGTCTTATGCAGTTTCTTCTCACGATTTCTGCCCGTGCAGGCTTATTCCCATCCTCTACAGTCCCAGAAGTGGTCTTTTGATCGAAGTTCTCGTGAGAAGAGACTTTAAGGTAGGAGTAGTGTGAGTCGCAATCGTCAGTCCGCAGCAACGGTCAGTAACGTGCACAGGCGAACAGCCTCCAGGCGTGGCACACCGTGGCTTTCTTTCCAGCCGGAGCTTCTTTACCCGAGCGCTTTTCTTTGGTCGTGATGCCGACATAAGCGAGGTGTTGGTGGAGAGACTGTTGAAGGCTCCCAGCCGTCACTGCTACTTCCACTTCCAGCACATGGGTGGTGCTGTGGCTGACGGGAGTAGTCTGAGCAGTGCCTTTCTCGCGAGAGATGCAGAGTGGTCGCTCGTGATCACAGCTGCGTGGACCGAGGATGAGGAGGATTGCAGCTTTTGGGTCAGGGAAGTTGTGAAGGTCTTGTTACCACTTGCTTTGGGATGCTACGCAACAGACCTTGGCCCAGACCCAGAGGATGTCGAGCTAGCACAGCGAACGTTTGGGGGACATGCTGAGCGCTTGCTGCTCCTAAAGCAGAAGTGGGATCCCAACAACATGTTCAGACATGGCTTTCCTTTATGCCAGCTTGGCCAGGCTACATGATCGCCCTTACCCGTATATGAGGTCTCAGAAGTAGTGCGACCGACAGCTGCCGACAAATGTGATTTGCGATCAAGCCGGGAAGTTTTTTCTTTGAGCGAGATTCTCTGTGTTTCTTTGACACAGCTGGCAGTGCGGAGTGCGCAATCCTGGCTGTGAGTAACCCTTCCAGCTTATCGCCGACAGCTCGCAGCTGACTACAGTTTAGTATCAACTCACGACCAGCCGAATCTGAATCGTTGTAGAACATGAAGAGGATTGAAACATGTGCAAACCATGTGCCTGTAGCTAAAATAAGTTTGTTCAGCCCACGGCGTGCAAGCGGCGCATGGCTACAGAGCCCAATGTGGGAGAAGCTCCCCTGCACTCGTACGCCGCTTACGGACCCAGATCTTCAGAGCACAGCAGCTGGCCCTAGGATGCTCTAAGTCTGAAGTCCCACCCCTCAATCCGGGTCCCCAAAGAAGGACCATGTCGCTTGAAGATCTTAGCAACTTCACTTCCTTCCTCGGTGTTTGCATCAGGCTCGTGGAAGTGCAGGAGGACGTGGGCGGTAGTGCGACTTGCTTTGGACTCCGGGATTCCGAATTCCGCCCTCAGACTCGAGTAACAGTGAGCCTCGTCACGGAGGCTTTAGAACATCTTCGTGGCCGCGGATATTGTACTCGTAGGTACTTGTAGTGAAGATCCTTCATTGGCAATGTTTGCCACGTCGGTGCCCCTGTCGTGTTCCTCCTCTTGCTTCTCCGCTTCCCCACAAGAGCATCAGCAACGGCAGCGGCGGGCGCCGCAGGAACTGTGCCAGCAGCGCAAGCAGTGGCAGTCGCAGGAAGAGCAAGAGAATCAGCGGCGGCAGCGGCAGCAGCAGCAGCAGCAGCAGCAGCAGCAGCAAGAAGAGCAGCAGTACAAGAAGAACATCGAGCAAGAACAAACAAGATAATGAACAGAAGAAGAGACAGAGGACTAACAAAAAGAGTAGAGTAGTGTGAGGGTAAGAAGGGCAGGAGAAGGCTGAAGGCTAGTAGGAGAGAATAAGAACAGCATCAGCAAGGGGACAACGGCCACGAACTCAGTGGGTTGTCTACTCCAAGATCGCGACAGTACGGGTCTTTATCAACTGCGACCTTAGTAACGGCCGCCGCATCAGCAGGAACAGCATTAGCTGCAGCATCTTCCGCGATAGCAGCAGGAATTCAGGACGAGGGCAGCAGCGAACAAATGGCAAGAACAAGGCGGTTATCCAAAAGTGTTGGCGAGCTTGAGAAGCTGTGCCAAGTTGGCTTTGCCTATGCAGCATATGTAGCGGGGTCGGTGGTCGTCATTGGCATCCGTAACACACCAGATAGTCTCCTCGTAACAGGAGGGTTCCAGATACTCACTCATGCCCATCGGGCCCAACCCTCCCTATAACCCCAAACCAGAACCGAAAAGGCAGCCTAAAGTTCTAAAGCCCTAAAATCCTAAATGCTCTAAAGCCCAATGCCCGAAAACCCCAAAGACGTAAAACCCTCCGCCCGAAGCCCGCAGTGCACCCTAAACGGCGATTGTTTAGAGGACACTCGACAACGAATCTGCGGTGGACGTGTGCTGCTGCGCATCCGGCTGGCGCCCGACGAGGCCGGGCTGCTACTATCCCGCCCTAGTTAGGGTTTAGGGTTTAGGCGGGGTTTATGAGGCGCTTGACGGGTTTTTGGGTGTTGAGATGGTTTAGGATATGCTTCAGTTATTCAAACATCAGGGGACTTAGTAAACAAGTATCCGAATTGGGACTTCTGCACTTGCAGCCCTACCTACAACCCACGTACACGTCGTCTGGTCGTTCGAGCATGCAACCCTGAACCCTAAACCCTAAACCCTAAAACCTAAACCCCGAAACCCCACAACCCTACACCCTAAACCCCTAAACCCTAAACCCCTAAATCCTAAACCCTAAACCCTAAACCAGCAAACCCTAAACCCTAAATAAACCCTAAACTAGGCCCATTCGGCCTTAGAGGCCTTAGCCACCAGGCCGAAGGACTTGAAGCTGCGAGAACCGAAAGAAGTAAAGCTTGTATAGTGTAGTACAGTAAAGTATTTTATAGTATAGTATGGTATAACATCGTATCGCATAGTATAGTATAATATAGTATAGTATGGTATTAGTATAGCTTAGTATAGTATAGTATGCCGGCAGCCGAAGCAGGTCGCCTCTCTTTCAGAGCCGGATCCCCTCTTCAGCCTGGTTCCTCGGACGGCCTATCTGCCCTTCCTCTTTCATGATGTGCTGGAGCACTTCAAGAAGTCGGCGATCGCCCGGATGGGACAGCCCTATGAGCTCTGGTTCGACTTTAATCACACGGCCTCCCGGCTCTGATTCCATGAGTCCCGAACCCCTAAACCTCTAAACCTCTATAAACCCTAAACTTCTCGATTTCATTCCATGAGTCTTTTTTGGTCGTGTTTCAGCTGCTATGACGGTGAGTCGCAGATGAGACGTGTACTTCACTGAGGCACTGAAATGGCATTTTCCAGTGGGGGTTCTGTGTGACGCCTTGGTTGGCGTTGAGGCCGGCACCATCGGCTTGCATCCATTCAAAACTCAAAATGTAGTCATGCATCCGAAGCAGGCCCACCCACGAACCCAGACGTAGGATGCAGGCATCCAGCTGCTGTGCTGGTATGGTTCAGAGTTAGGCTCTAGGGTCAGCTTTTCGAGCGTATGCAGTGAACGGCTTGGCCGTGGCTGCCCTATACCCGACCCCAATGCAAGCTTCTCACCTGACCTGCAGAGCATAGCCAAATCATGTACACCTCGGTCGTGCCGTGAGGTCCCAGTACCCTTAGATCTTACCGTCCACTTCCGTGGCAACTCGGTGATGTCCGACCTGCTGCCCTTCAGCCGCTTGGAAACAAACCCCTGACTCCGAGGCTCTATTCCAGATGGTCTGCTGGGAATGGGATTTTTGATTAAGACTGCTTTCGTAGGCTTTGCCAACCCAGTATTGTATCGGCCCAGCAGTAAATGCCAATACCTGTCCTAGAACGGATTTAACCACAAGTTGCGTAGAATCTTTGTGTTGATGTCACAGTAAGGACACTGATACAGTAGCATGACGAAGCAAAGTAGACCTGTTGCCCTGCACGCCGTTCCGGTAACTAGGTGCTCAAACAGGCACCTATGCATTAACTTGTTAAGAAAATATGTGCCCGGCACCCTATAATTTCTCACCCCGATCGTCCCCGCCTGAAGCCAGAAATCAGCCTTAGCCTCTCTGGCTCGCACGCTACAATCCTCACACCCGACACACCCACAATCACCCAAAAAACCCGCACCTCCAAACCTGAAGCCTGAAGCCACAGATGCCTTCCACCCGAAGCGCAGCAGGTGGCATGGCCGATCTCCAGAGGTCTGTAATGAATGCCTTCAAGCAGGCGCAGGGCGCCGCAGGGTTTCGGAGCCTTTGGGCCTTTGGGCCTTGTGAGAAGTTGGAGGTTTCGGGCTTTCCTGGCCGTTAAGGCGAAAGTCCTCGAAGTTCAGGTCTTGAGAGTGCGACTTCTTGGAACCCAAACGGATGAATTCAAGCATTCCTTCCAGTAGCGACTCCATGGCCACAGTTTATCGAAGCCCAACGCTGATCACCTTAGACCCGTAAACCCGAAGAAGCCACTTCTCCAGGCAATCTTCCTGGAAGTTGGCTCCGCATCGCGCTTCATGCGCCTGGAGAAGATCCCTGGCGGCGCAGTGCAAAAGCACTAAGGTTTGGAGATTGCATCCTTCTCGATCGAAGCTTGTACACGCGCCGACATCTGAGGAAAGAACACATGATGCTCTGGGACGCAATCCTTCAGAGTGACATCAAGAGCTTCTCCCAAGTGGAGGAGAAGCTAATGTGCAGCACTTTGGCAGAGTGCAAAAGTCTGGCTGTGCGTCTGCATATCTGGGCGCCTGCACACGACGGCGAGGTACAGCTCAATAGGTCCACGGAACATACATTGACAATGCTGGTAGTATTCGTAGTATGTAGGGTCGTAGTATGTAGGGCCAATGTAGGGAATGCCTAAAACCTCAGAAGCCCTGCAATCAGCTGGATATCCCACAGGTGCTGCTGCACAAGGCGCCGGCGAGATTCAAGGGCGAATAATCCGACGAGCGCTTGACTGCAGCAGCCTCCACGCCAAACTTTGCGTGCTCCTGTTTTCGTTCTGGCTAGATGACGATGATGCTGCTGCTGCTGCTGATGATAATGATGATGATGGTGACGATGGCGGGGATGAAGTCGATGATGATGACGACGACATCGATGTCGCTGATGATGGTGATGATGACGAGTGCGGCGACGTCGATGATGATGGTGATGATGATGAAGAAGATGGCGATATGATCATAGGCTGTTCGTGGTGATGAGTTATGATGTAGCATGATGTTACGAAGCTGTTCTTATGATAAAGGCCCAGTAGGGTCGGGTTTCGGGGGGCCAGCCTGCAGGCACCAGCCCTCCGTGAGTCGGGTGCGGCCTTCACATTGAGCGACTTCCTGGCTATGGCGATGCCGCCACTGCTCAGCGCGGCCGGGGATGTCCTGGCAGAGGGCGTGGAGGCGCAGAAGTCTGGGCCTGTTTGGGACTTGGGATGTGGTCGAATCAAGGGCATCAAGGGTTCAGGAAGCAACGCAACAGTGCAAGTAGCTGCGTGGCCTCTGGAGGCTGGCGACTCCTCGGGTATTTGGGTTGCATAGCCTATACCGGAGTCAGATTCTTGGATTCTTGCATTCTACTAATATCCAAGAGACATCCCTTGCGCATGGGCATGCAGAGAGCAGCAAGTTGCATAGACGGCAAGGTGCTGACACAGGGCCTGATTCTTGAGCTGCATTGGCTTCGTCGGATCTCTCTTGGGACTTAGGAGCCTTCGCTGTCGGCCTACGAGTCGTTTGTTCTAAATGCTGTAGCTATCAGACGTTAGTACTTTTGCCAGCGTCGTTGTTGCTAGTACGATTGAAAAAGCTATGTTGCTGTTGCAGATTATGCAACTATCCTTTCGGTGAATTCATGGTTTGCGGTGCCTGCTGAGGATAGTTCCACTGGACACGCCCTTGTTCTGGCTGGCCCTACACGCCAGCTACCTGGACCACTTTGTCCATCTGATCCTTGACTCTATCAGCAAAACTTACCCTAAACTCTAAACCCTAAGTTCCATCGGCATCTAGCCGTCGAGCCGCAACGGGCTGCCTGGCCCCTCTTTCCCGCGTCATGCGGTTTGGGAAACCCAAAGCCCCCAAGATCCCGACTCAGGATTGCCAGGGTGCCGGACAGCTTTCTGAAACCCCAGGAAAGCTCCTAGAGCCGAGGAGACGTCCGGCTGCGGCCGACTATTTCGAGGGCTACCTTTATCTGTATTATCCTTCCGGCTGTCAGTAGTTGTAGCACTAGAGCCATTGTTATCACCATATGATTCAATGATTCTTCAGTGCAGCCAGTCTAGAGCTGTCTACATGATAAGCTTATAGGAAATGCTTGCCATGGTACTGACCTGTATTTGCTTGGTGCTGGCCGTCTGTGCAGACATGCTGTGTGCGAATGCCACGAGGCCAAAGGCAGAAAAGCCCTGCTGTACATACGTTCTCCCCGATTGTGGTGATTACTGTCCTGCCTGTAGCTTCGTATGTTGGCAAAGTTGGCTATACCATCCGTCGGAAGGCAAGAACAAAGCTACGGGCATTGTCCAGAGTGAATGCGCCGCGCAGAGCGATGCTGCGGAGGAGAAACGTCGTGCTCAAACACTTCAAACACGAAGGTGCGGGTTGTCAAAGAAAGTATGCAGAGTCCAACAGATGAAGACCCTGGCGCTTCTGAATTTGAAAGAAGCACACGTGTCTGGCCCAAGCATAAGCGTTGAGTCATGACAGCTCGCACTCCCCACCAAGTCGTAGCTAACGCCTACCCCTTCAGACCTCCGCAGCATGTAAACCTACTACAGGTTAATGCTCCTCGCAGATGAAGTCTGAGAAATGAAATGTTTCGCTTGCGGGTTCTTGCTGAGCATTATGCGTGGCAATTCTCAACGCCGGAAGACTGAAAGAGGGCAGACAATTGTAAACTTGTGGCCCTCCCTGGTGCCATATGCTCGGTTGCCGATGCCATGGCTGAGTCAGTCGTATCCCTCAGTCGCAGCTGTGCAGTGCACGGAAGGTCCTGGTCAGACTTGGCACTGAGGTCCGAGCCATGGGATTGGCTGATGAGACCGAAGACGGAGACCAGACGGAAAAGGACGATCTTGACGAAGAGGAGGACATCAAACGGATCCTTGTGCATCTTTCCAGTCATTCATCAGCTTGCAAAAGGCTTGTAACATGCCGTGGAGAGCAAAGAGTGTCTCATGTGAGAGTGATCACCTTCCCTGTCTCTAAGACTGATACAACGACACTGCCCGTGTTCAGAGGCATCGAGAGCTCAAGACCCGAAGCTTCTGAAACCTGGAGCCGGGGGCCCACTCCAAGCAAACGGGCACTGGCCAGGAAGATTTGCGGAAGAACCCGCCCCTGCCGGGCCATGTGGATCACCACTGCACAGCTCTGCTCTTAGCGACAGTCTTCGATCCTTGAAGGCGACAGGACAGGGTGCTTACTGTATGAGTAGGGTATGTTAGGGCAAGCAGGTGACTGCAGTCACATCCCCTCTCCCGTGAGAACCTTCACGGCCAGTCAGATGGGTGAGTGCGGCTGCGACAGCACACCATGCAAGCAGACTCAGCGAAAGTCAGTTCGCCCAGAGCGGCACTACACTTCGGCCGCTAAGGATATACCCTTTCTGATGCTCTTCCTGTTGGCGACAGCAGGCTGGCAAGCGAATGCTTCACAAGGGCTGTCGCAATCGGTCTTAGCACCAAGCTGAAGACACGTTCTCAGCAAAGTCATGTCACTGCGTTGGTTTCCATAGTTGCACTCAGCTTTCAGTTGCATGCCCCAGCAGACGCCTGGAAGGAAGTGTGAAAAGGAGATCTGGCCGTGCTAATGGCTAGCTCATGTTGAATCGCTGGCATTCGCAGGCTTCGTGAGATGTCTTCGGGCATCGTACATCATGTCGCAACTTTGCACGACTGAAGGGTGCCAGGCATTGCCAACCTGCGAGCAGGACATCGATCTCGGTTGACCCTAAAGCCCTCAACCCTCAACTCCCAACCCTATGAGCCTTAAGTGACTCCAAACTCGACTGCATGCTGTGCACGCCTCCTCTGCCCAATAGCAGGCATTGGCTGGATCAGCTACGATGCGATCAAGCACGGCAACATACATAAGCTCGGGCACGGGTGCGCTGCCTCTGGACTATTGTGCAATAAGGCTGTGAAAAGAGTCACGGTACTGAGAAAGAGTAGATCACTAATGCTGCATGGTACTTCCAGGACAGTACCGATAAGTACGGTCCGGACTTGCAGCTTGTCGCCAGCATCTCCGCTAATCTTGCACTGGGAAGCCCGAATGATAGTATGCGTAGAAACAGCAGTTTCGCTGATCGCGGCTTGACGCCCTATGATCCTGTCAAGGGACTGTTGAGGGCTCTTCCTTCGCCCTGCAAGGCAGGGTGACGTATCAGGAGGGTTCTAGTGTGGCTTTTTGCCGCCAGCCCCAAGTTCAGTGCCAAACTGTCCACCCGAAAGCCTCAATCTGCAAAATTGCCCAGTCCTGAATCCCAATGGAAATCAGCGTGGTCAGGTACAAGCAGGCCATGGAAGTCTGCCGAGCCGGCCCTGCCATGGATTCTGCGACTGTGGGTGTTAAGGGGTCTTAGCATCGCTGCGTGTATACAAGTGTGCTGCTCTCATCCGTCTCAATGTACCACCACCACTACTACTACTACTACTACTACTACTACTACTAACTACCTACTACTACTACTACTACTACTACTACTGCTATGTAGTTGTGCTCGTGGCGTTGTGGGAATACGAGGTGGAATAGGAGTAGTGAGTTAGTGGCAGCAGTAGTAGCACCAGCACTGTTATTAGTAGCGGCGGTGGCACCGGCAACGCGGTAACCGGTAATGGTCGTCGGATACAGCTTCCACCAACAAGAGCGGCACGGGGAGTGGCAGCAGCATTTCCTGTTGTGCAGTCGCGGCAAGTTCATGAATGTAAGCCCCGTTCTTAACTATAGATTGACAGGTTTTCGGCAATTGCAGCTGCCCTTTGCTCAGCACAGCCTCTGACCGCTCACGATGGCAGGATGCGGACTTCCCTGAGGGCAAGGCTTTCTGGTCCGCCCTCGGGTCGTCTTGCAGCTTCTTAAGTTGCCCTGGCACGGCGTAGCGGCGTAGTGCGAGGTGCCTCAACTCCACCGGGAATGGCCTCATGTTGGACTCCCCGATTTGTGTGGAGAAATGTCCGATAGATGTCCGGGCCCACGGCACTCAGCTTGCAAGCACGTGTCCCCGAGGGCGAACACATTCAAAGTGTTCAGAAGGCAGCTGTTGATAGTTATCCCTCCCTACACACTTGCTCGCTCGACATGAGAGCCGCATTCCTTCCGATTTAGTCTGCATTCATTGTCAAGCGTGGCACTAGCTCTCCAAAACCCGGAAGAAAAGAAGATTGAAGCGCTGCACTGAGACCCGGCACCACCACAAATGCTGGGACAGTTCGGAGAACATGAACCGCATTGTTCAGGACACGCATTTCGAGGTTCTCGGACTCGGAACTGACATAAGTCCACAAAGCCTCCATGAGTAGGACTGTCGAGACACTTCGGTTTGATTCCTGGAGTACTGATCGCGCGATGCCAGAGAGATGCCTCGTGCATATCCTCTAGTGGTGTGGACGGCGTGTTGGAACTGCTGGGGTGGGACGCCGGAAACATACCTTTGCAGCCCAAGCCCCTGCCCGGCGACTGAACCTCAAATTTTCTAGCCAGAACCCCCTCAAGCCTTCAAACCTACGCCAGGACTATCCGTCCCATCACTTCGGATATTTCTGCAAGCCCCTCGACAAAGCGCTCAAGAAGGAGGCTTTCTCTTGGCTGAGCAAACTTAGAGAGGAAGAAGCCGGGACTGAGGGTTTGGGAACATAGGCATAGGCCCCTCAGATATTCAGCAGACTTCTCTTGCAAAGCCGTGAAGGTGAGGACCCCAGTTTGTTAGATGCTTACATGCTGTGCTCGAGCTGAGGCCTAGATTCTAGACTTCAGGCTCCGTCAAAAGCGACACACTGTGCGCAGGTGCATGAGTACAGCTTCCAGCAGGAGAAAGGGGTCATCCTGAGGCCCGCAGAGACTACGCCATTCGGACACCTCAAATGATTCAAATGATTGTTACCTCACATCGCAGGCTGTGGGGCGTGCTATCCAGGACTTGGTATGTCCTGGTGATGGGTGCTGTGATCACCGGACTCATAGGGTGCGTGCCGTTTTTCCCACGCTTCCGAAGTGTGCAACATCTTGGAGATCTCCCCTTGCAGGTACTTCTACATCTTCCTGCTTTTCATCAGCCCGGAAGTCGTGGCGGCATGGTGCACCGTCATATTGACGGTCCTGCCAATGGGCTGGAGCCTCAAATCTCCTAATTCATGTTCGCACTCTGGCACAGAACAGCATTTTGCCTCGCGAAAGGAACCGGCGCATTTATTCTCTACACCACATCGCACCCAGGACTGCACTTTCAATTGCATCAGCGAAAACTGAAAGAGCTGCTGGAACGGCAGGCTCGCCACTGGCCGCCGCTTTCTTCGAAGACACGGAGTATTCGACGACAGAGAGGTATGTGGCAGGCGGTTCTCCAGCAAGCAACATGAACATGTCTTTGCAGTGGTAGTGTCGTAGTAGGGAGAAGGGAATCGCCGCCGCAGGTCACGTATGTGCATCTGTAGATTCCTGTAGATTGTAGATACATTCAGAAGAGGCCCGGCACAGTCTTGGC